CTCTGAGATCCAATCCTGCGGAACCCTCACCCACCCCTGACATCCCCCCACCCTCCAAGATGAACGGACAGAAAGACCCTGGTGCTGGGTCAGGGGTAGGAGCCTGGAAGGAGCCAGAGCCAGCAACACTGAATGAGGAGACCCATCCTGCCAGGGCATTACATAGCTGCAGAAAGGGAGAGGGCAGTAAGGGGTAGGCCTGCTTTGTCCATTCTAGACAGTAAAGGGATCCAGCCCTGGCTTTAGACTCTGCTTCCCCCCCTGGCATTATGGGCCACTCTGGGCAGCAGGATGGAGGACAGCCAAAATCCCACCCCCCCAGCTGCCAGGAAATCCCGTGTCCCCCACCCCACCCACAGGACATGGGCAGCCAGTCCATTCCAGGGCTGGGCAACAGGTATCCACTTCAGTCCCTTCTCTAGTCATCCTGAGGGGCATCCAGACCCAGGTTTCTCCCCCGTCACCATAGGGCGCCTCCTGCCAGTCCTCTGTCCCAGGAGGAACCCATTTCAGTCTATTGCAACTCACAAGGAAGGATGTAGTGCCAGGTTTTCTCCTCTCAGGACACAGCAGGTCCTGGCCTGGGTCCCTGTAATGGACACCAAGCCCCTCTGTGTGAGGGGCAGGAGTGGGAGGAGGGTTCCTCTGGCGCCTCTGGGGTGGGGGCCAACATGCCCCTTGTATTTATTTGTGGTGAAATCACCATTTGTATTAGAGAAATAAATCTGAGTGTGATGCTGAACCCCACCCCAGAATCCTCTAAGGCAGCATGACTGGGGGACCCGTGGGTCAGGACCATATTGGGGCTCCCCACTGTCTCTGCCCGGGGATCTCCCCCCCACCAGCTAAGGGAGAAGGTCAGACTGGCAGCTTCACAGGCTGCCACTGGGAGCCCCCACAGGACAATCACTCCCTCTAGGCCCTGTGTGTGTGTGTGTGGGGGGAGGAGGCCTCCCACTACAGGGCCCCACCTGGAGCAGGGACATGGTGCCCGGCGCTGGAGTGGTTTCCTGGAATGTTCTGTTTTGGTCTTGTCTGGGGCTCAGCCAGGAACACAAGGGCAAAGACCTGGGCGTGTTTGCACAGGATTATGAAGGGATAGAGGGTGAAGGCCATGGGGGGAGGGGTGGGGGCTGCAACACAGCAGCCCCACACCCACATCCATCCGCTTGTCTGTCCTGCAAAGCAGGTCGCAGCAGTGCCCAACTGCCCCCCATGACACCCAAGCCCTTTCTTCCTGGGGAACTGCCTGCTGCTGGAGCCCAGAGCAAATCACGAGGCCCGGAAAGAGGAAGAGCAGGGCCAGCTCCCTCCTACCCAGAGTTGGCAAGTGTGGGGTAGCCATAAGGGGGCCTACAGGGAGAGATTCCCATCCTTTGCCACCAGGGGTCAGGGCTGGGCTGTCCTCTGATGCAGCAAGGAGCTGGGATCCAGGGTGCAGGGGCCCAGGGCAGTGGTGAGTGGCTGTGTCTCACCTTGTGTGTTCCCTACCCTGTGCCCCCGAGGTTAATTATTAGGGACTGGGCTGGTGCAGGCAGGGGAGGGCTGTGCTTGGTGTCCAGGAGGCAGGTGGGAACCCACCAACTCCACTCCTTTCCCAGAGCTGGGGTAGAACCTAGCTGGGGGGGTTTGGGGTATCAGGGGACTATGATGGGTGGTCCCTGAAGCCCCAGAGTCATGGCAGGGTGCATGAGAGATGGAGGCACCTGGACTGCATTGTGAGGGGCGCAGCATGGAGGGGATGTGGAAGGAAAGGCGGGTGGGTAGAGATACAGAGGGCTGCGTACAGGGACAGACAGACAGACAAGGCTGTGTAGGGTGACAGAGAGAGGGATGGTACCTATGAGAATGAACAAAGCTGTGCATGAGGGCAGACAGACGGGTGTGTGTGGGGACAGACAGATGCGGACAGGGCTGGATAGATAGGCAGACAAGCGCCGTCTGCAGACTGGATAGACTCCCCTGTGCAGACTGGGCCGTGAAGCTTGGAGCACTGTGTCCCACCCTGCAGGGCTCATGGATGGGACATGGTGCTTGGGGACAGCTGAGCAGGGTAGATAGCACCCACACCCATCTGTCCTGCCACACGCCGCTCTGGGAAATGCACTGGCATGCTGCTGCAGTAGAGGATACAGTAGGGATTGATGGGAGCTAGGGTTGGCAACTGTTTGAATCTATTCCGGGAGGTTTCTGGAACACCAACGTGCCCATACACACAACGCAAATGTTCCCGTGTGCTTGTGTGTATCAGTTACAGATTATGGTGCATAGACTTTACATCAGGAAGGCAAATGCACATTATTATTGCATTTAAAAAAACCCACTGGACTGCTGTATAAATCAGATTCAACATCTAATATTTATTTTAATGAATGCCTTTTCATTCATCTCCTGGGTGACTCTCAGCCATCTCCTGGTGATTTATATCTAATTCCTGGAGACTCCAGGGCAATCCTGAAGGGTTGGCAACCCTACTGGGAGCCAGGGTGCCTAGGTCCCACCCCAGCTCTGGGAGCAGGTTGGGGAGGGGGGGCACTATGAGCCAGGACAACTGGATTTTCTTCGACTCTCCCTGACCTCTTGGCTTTGTCCTCCATGGGCTCATCCTCTGTGCCTGGCTTCAGGGCATTGCTGGTGTTACACTGGGAATGGGATAGAACCCAGAATTCCAGGCTCCCAGCTCTTACCCACCAGACTTCACTGCCCGCTTCAGCTAGGAGGGCTCGGGGATGAAAAGGGGGCTGGGTCCCTCCCAGAGGGATAGCAGGCAGAGAAGAGGTTAAGAGCAGTCCAGCTGGAAAGCAGCAGCCTTGGAGCCAGCAATCCCATCCCCGCCCACCCCCGCCTGAAGCCCAGGAGCCAACAGGACCGCCTGCCCATGCCTGGAAAACCCAGGGTTGCAGGCTATATATAGGTATGACTTCAGCCAGCTGTCTCCAGGCGCCACCTCTGGGGTGGGGCGTGTTGGGGACTGGCTATACAAAGCCCCTCACCCTGTGCTGAAATGCAGCCACCTCTAGGGTGGGACATGGGGGGTGGGGGAGGGCTGAGCACTGCTGTCTTGCCAACCTGTGGCATGTTCCATCCTGAGGCCTTGCCCAGTGGGGAGAACAACAGCTGTGTTCACAGGGCTCCCTGGAGCGGAAATGGAGCTGGAGCCACAAGCTGGAGTTTCCATTCCCTTCCCCAGAGGCTTGGCTGCAGACTCTGGACAGATGCAGACTGTCCAGTGACATAGCTCGACCCTTCCTCCCTGCCTCCAGCCAGTGCCCCAGCCTGGGCCGGCACCCCACCTCCCAGAAGGGAAAGACCCCTTCCTTAGTCCAGCCCTGAGCCAGCTGGCCTCTTTATGCAGTGAATAACTTCTCCCAACACCAACTTCCCCCTGAGGAAGCCGTAAGAACCCCATTGGCTCCTCATGCCGCCCAGCCACACCCAAGAGACAGAAAACACAGACAGAAAGAACATTTTACACTTTTATTGTTCTGTTATCAGGGTTTTTTCCCTCTATATATTGATATGGATATAAAAACTCCTCAACTTGGTAACTCAGTCGTGATAGAACAAGCTGTTGTTTGGATCTCTGAGCTTACAGGAGTGTAAAAAATAGATATAAAAATCCAATGAATGATACAGAGTCAAGCATCTAGCTAACTTATAGCAAAGTGAGGCACAGGATTTTTGCAATAAGTGGGACATTACCTTTAAGATAATGGCTGCCATTTATAACACCTGGATAAATAACACCTGGATAAATATTCAGGAATGAAGCAAATGTTTATGTTTTCCAGCAAAGGTTGGGGGGGGGGGGGGGGGGGGGCGTTGTTCCCTTTGTGTGCAGGGGGGGGGGGGGGGGGGGGGGGGGGGATTCAGTGATTCACCTTTAAGATGCTAGCAGGCAAATGCTTCTAACCCCCAGATAAATATTCTCATTAAAGGCTAATTCTCTTTAACCAAGAAAGTCCTTTGGCAGCCAGATGACCAAGTGGACCCATTACATTTAAGAAGCCAGCCAGCAAGCCTTTCAACCTCCAGACAAATCTTTTCAGTAAAGGGGAGTTGTCACCTCACCTTTAACTTCTCCATGCCCTTCTGCCCATGATGAATTATTTGGGACTGGCAGCACTGGCTTCTAAGTCCCAACACATGCTGGACCTACTGGTCTACACTGGTCCTTGTGGTCAGTCCCCAGACCTGCCCCTGGTCACTGCTCCCGGTGGGGTAAAGGGCTAAGAACCAGCAATCGGCCCCGAATTCCCCCTCCCAGACCAAACGCTGCTCTGGTGCAGGGAGGGGATGTGGCAGCTTCTGGCTCGTAAGACCTACGGGCTGAGGTGGGGCAGGGGGGCATCCAAAGCAATTAGGTGTAAAAAGGGGGAAGGAAGAGAGAGAGAGGAAGGGGAAAGAGAAAATGAAGGAGAGAAGGAATGAATGAAGGAAAGTGCAGATAGGAAGGAAAATGAGTGCAGAAAAAAGAATGAATGAGGCAAAGAGAAAAGAAGGGATGTGAGAGGGCAAGTCCCAGAGAGGAGGGGGGAAGGGGCTGGAGGCAGCAGGAAGCCCAGGGTGGGACCCACCTGGCAAGTTGCAGGTGCCAGGCCACACAGCCCCCTCCCTGTCCTTCCCCCAAGCAGCGCAAGTGCCTAGACTTGAATGAAGATGAGGCGGGCAGAGTAGATCAGGTCGGCCAGGTAGACTAGCAGATTGATGGCAGTGAGCACAGCAATGGCCAGCACCTTGTCCCAGGTGCAGAAGGTATGATGCTGGCAGTTGCTGGGCCGCTTGGGCTCCCCCCCATGCTTACTGTCAAACTTGTAGAGGGGCCAGAGGACGGTGGCAGAGGCATAGAGGATCACAGCCAGGAGCGTGTATCCACTGAGGAACTTGTTGAAGGCACAAGGCAGCCAGCCAGTGCACTCCCCGACACACAGCACAATGACAACCAGCGAAAGGATGAAGCAGATACAGTACACAGCCAGGCACCACTTCAGGGCCTCATTCTGATCGTAAACCACTGGCTTGCTGATGAAGACAAAGATGATGCAGGCGATGAAGGTCTCCACCACCTTGAGCAGCCCAGGCACCGTGGCCATGTAGCCAGTGACCTCTCCTGGCTTGGCACGGGTCATGGTGACCTCGGTGGAATAGGCCACGCAGGCGAGGCAGGAGAAGACAGTGGCAGCAATGCGGTAGTCCTTCCCTGGCAAGGACTGCCTGTCCTTGACATAGGTGACAGGATAGATGACAGAGGCTGAGAGGGTGAAGAGGGCGGCATACATGGCGAAGGTGATGGGGAAGTTCTTCCAGGAGACAGGTATGCGGTGCTGGAGCCCCACAAACTCCACCAGCAGCACCACAACTGTCACAGCAAAGCAGAAGCACCACGAAAACATGCACCAGTCGCCGTTGCCATCCCGTGGGTCCCCACGGCTGGCCACCAGGCTGAAGGTGACGCAGGTGAAGAGGGCCTCCAGCAGGCGCACGATGCCTACCGAAGATGTCAGCACCTGAGTGTTGCCCACTGAGCTGGAGCGCTGCACTGGCATGGTTGGTTCACCTGGAGGGCAGACAGAGGGAGCATGAGTGAGCACAGGGCAAGGGGTGCATGGGGAACATGTGCATGTGGGCTGCGAGGGGCATAGGCATGGGCTAAATGCATGCATGGGGCAGGGTGTACACACACACACACACAACAAACGGGGGACAAACAGCCTTAGAGAGAAGTGGGACACACAGGGGTCAGGGTGCATGCACAGAAGTAGAAGGCAATGGGGCACACACGCATATACACAGTAAGGGGCAGCACCATTGCACACACAGCTGGGCACTGGTTCTCACTCCTACACCTAAATCCCTAGCCCCACTCCCACCCACCCATCAATAATGTCCTCCCCAACCCCTGCACTGTTTCCCCACCCCAGGCCTGGTGTGGGGGAGGGAGATGTACAGCATCCCCCCACCAGGCCTAGTGGAGACACACACAGACCTTGGGACCCAGGCATCCTGTTGTACTACCAGGCTGCCCAGCCGGAGGAGGGGGTTGTTATATCCATGCAGCTTATTGGGTGTGTCTGTGCTTTATAGGTCCGACTATAGTGGTGTGTGGTATGTGGCTGGATAATGCAACTGACAATTTTTTTCCCCATGTCAGTGGAAAGGTGATCTTGTAGTTCATACATACTGTAGATTATATTGTGTCAATTCACTTTACTAATGATTACTCATTGCTGCTTAATTACCATATTACTGCCTTCCCAGAGCTGGGAGAGAGCCCAGGTATCCAGGCTTCCAGCCCCACAGTTTTAACCCTGAAAGCCCACTCACCCCCAAAGTGGGGAGAGAACCCAGGCATCCTAGCTCCCAGACTCCATCTTAACCAATGCCCCAGTACACTTTCTGCGCTGGCTGGAGGCAGCAAGGCCCCAGTGGTGTCGGGCAGGGAGCCAGAGGGTGGTGTTAGAAAGGAACTGTTTGCAGCCTGGAGCCCATATAAGGGCAGACAGAAAATCCTTCCCCTCTGGATGTTATTCTCAATCCCAGTTCAACCTAGCAGGGCTGGGACCAACTCTGGGTTTCCCCCATCCTTGGGGGAGGACCAGAGCACAGAGCCTCCTTGTTCTGGGAGTTTTCTGCTCAGCAGGGTGGAGCCAGGATGCCTGGGTTCTCTCCCCAGTTCTGGGGAGGCAGGGGAGTGGGATCTAGTAGTCAGAGCAGGCAGGGCTGGGAGCCAGGATGCCTGGGTTCTCTTCCAGGTTGGGTGCTCGATGTCCCTGGAGGGCTAAACACCATGAACAAGGCAGGATCCTTCTGATCCAACTTGGCTAGAGGGAGATGTGCTCTAGGGTGTGGCTGAGGGTGGGCAGTGCTAGGGCTGTTTATGCCTGCAGAATCCCTAGGGGGTGGATCAGAGCCCACCCCCCACCCCCATACACAAGGACCAAGCAGCTCAGACTCCCTAGCCCGGCGTAACTGGATGCAGGGCTCTGTCCAAGGGTAGCTTGGAGACATGGGGCAGACTGACCCACAGGCGTGACTGCACCTCACAGGGTTTGCACAAGCACTCACAAGTGTCTCTGGCCCGAGAACATTCGGGAAACTAGAGCTGGGGAGGGGCAAGGCCCTACCATGGGAGGGAGAGGTGGAAGAGCCCAGGCATGGGCATAAGGGGGTCATCACACGTGTACATCATATCATGCACCTTTAGGACGCAGCCCCATGTACACACACGTATACACAGAGCTCAAGAAAAGACTCACCCACCCCGCAGACAGGCAAGCTCACCCAGCCCCACAGACACCCCAGCCCCACGGACACACACCTTTAGGATGTAGCCCCATATACACCCACGCCAGCTACACACAAAAGCACAGACCCACCCCAGACAGGAAACACCTGTGTACACAGATGCATCAGCCACAACACAAACTCATGTAAAAATGCACATTCCCCTGGCAGAGCCCCACACAGTAACCAGGCATCCTGGGTCCCAGCCACCTCCCAGCTCCATACCACTCCTCTCCCAGAGTTGGGGCAGAACCCAGGTGTCCTGGCTCAGCCACACCCCAACCCACTGTAACATCCTGTGTGAGGACCCCCTCCCCCCCACACACACACCCTGGTAAGAGTGGCAGAAAGTGTGGTTTCCAGATATCTCAGTTTCCAGTCATCTACCCAGGTGCCTGCAAGGGCTAGGGTGCAAGTGCTGCATGCTTGCCAAAACTATGTGCACCAGATACCTCATACCTCACCCAACCCAATGCCCTGGGGTCAGGGGAGCTGGCCACACCTCACTGCCTGGGGCTGGGCAGCCATTACACACATGTGTGCACACATGCACAAGCAAGGAGCCCCCCTCCCCAAGCAGCCCCACAATTACTGATGGGGGGATGGAGATGGGGAAGAGCTGCATTGTGGGGGTTGAATACCAGGATGTATTTCCACCCCCACCACACCCTCATGCATGCACGTGTGCACGTGCACACACACACACATACACACATACGAGTGCACAAGCAAGGAGCTACCCCCTCCTTCCCCCACCAAGCATCCCTGCAGTCACTGACAAGGGGACAGAGACAGGGAAGGGCTGCACTGGGGTTACAATATCAGGGTGCATTTCCAACCCCACCACACCCTCATGCATGTGCACATGTGCACACACACTAGTGCAGAAACAGGGAGCCCCCACCCCAGCAGCCCCACAATCAATGACAAGGGAACAGAGGCGGGGAAGGGCTGCACTGGGGAGCAGAATATCAGGGTGCATTTCCACCCCACCATGGCCTGGCACACATGTATGCACACACACACACCCTGTCCTTCCCAAGAGACTGTCTGGGGGGAAATGACTAGGTGTTTGCTGCCACCTCCTGTTTCAGGGGTGCTGACAACCCGAGCCCCTTATAGTGATCCCCCCTCCAAGGGAGAAGAGGACTCTGCCAGGGAGACCTGTGAAGGGTTAGGGCAGGGTGGGGCACGGCCCAGGGCGCCTGGCTTCTCCCCTGGCTTGGGTTGGGGAGAGGGGTCCGGTGGGTCGGGTTAGGAGCCCGGACGCCTGGGTTCTAGCGCTGGCAGTGGGAGGGGAGCGGAGTCCGGTGGGTTGGAGCAGGGGGCCAGGACGCCTGAGTTCTCCCCCAGCTGGTGGGTCGGGCGGTGCCCGCAGCTCCCGGAGGATGCGGAAAAAGCCCTGATCCCCTCCCCTACCCCAGCCAGGGCGCGGGCAGCCGCCGGGCTCGCCCCAGGCTCCGGCCGGTGCCGGGCAAGGCACTTACGCGGGAGGACAGGCGGACAGACACCCCCCGGCACCGCCCCGAGCGCTGGCAGTCTGTCTGCCACCGCCACACACACATACACACACACACACCCTCCACAACTTAGTGCACAACACACACCACACACAGCACGTAACACACGCGTAACACACGCACACATCACACCGCCGCGACACACCCAGCAATCGCCACTCTGCACACACACGCACTCTGACCCAATAGACACCAATCCCCACTCCATACACACACTGACTTTACCCCAATATACACACACGCAGCAGTCTCCACTCTACAGACACCCCACAACACACGCCCCCCCACGCGCTTTGAAATGTCTCCGGGCAGCCCCCGCTTCCCCCGCCCGGTGTTGTTTGTTGGTGTTCACCCGGGGGACTCCCTGCCACAGGGCAGCGCCGGCGGGCGATGGGGCCGCCAACACCGCCTCGGGGCGCCCAAACGCGGCTTCCTGACCGCTCCCTCACGGCTGCGAGCTTCCCGCCCGCAGTGCCCCAGTGCAACCCCGTGCTGCGAGCTTCCCCCAGCAGTGCCCCAGTGCAGCTCCAGTGTTGAACTTCCTTCCAGCCGTGCCTCAGCGCTGCGGGCTTCCGCAACAGTACCCCAGCCTGCAAGCTTCTCCCAGCAGTGCCTCCAGCTGGGGCGTGCCCCAGTGTAGCTCCAGTGCTGTAAACTTCCTTCCAGCAATGCCCCAGTGCTGCGAGCTTCCCCCCCAGTACTGCCCGCCGACCGGCGGCCGCGGGTTCAAATGCTGTTTGGTGGGACTGTTTGCGGTTACCACGGAGACGCCGGGTCGGGGGTTCTGAGCTCACGCAGCTGGAGCTGACATCTGGCGTGAGGGGGAGGGGAAGTGATTTCCCCCCTCCCCCAGTGCCAGAGGCTCTGCCCCCAGGCCACGCCCCTCGAGCCTAAATATTTTGTTGCCTGGGCAAACCAAGATGTCCCGCCCCCGCAACCGGGCCTCTGGGAGCCGGGACGCCTGGGCTCCCCCCGCCCAGCCGGGTCAGGGCAGGGATAACGGGTTGCTGCTCGCAGGATTGCAGCCAGGACCCCGCCTGGATTCCACCCAACCACCGCCAGGCGCAAGTTTTGCTTCCCTTTTCCCTCGGAGCTGCAGGGAGCAAGCGGGTCTCTCCCCCGCGAAGGCAGGGCCTGACCCCGGCTGCGAACAACCCCACCCCCAAGCCCGCGGGAAATGAGTTTGCGAGAACTCGGCCTAGTGCCCTGCTGCCGCCCCCAGAAACCAGCAGAAATAGCAAAGCTGGGGCAGCACCCTGTGCCCCACGCACCCTGGCCCGCTGCAGCAGGGGAAGGCACCACTGCAGCCAGCCTGCGGGTAGAGAGGGGACAGAGCCCAACTGTCCTGGCTCCCAGGATCACCCGCACCCAACTCCCCTCCCCTCCCCAGCTGAGAGAAAATCCAGTTCCCAGCCCTCCTCTGACCCCCTGGACTGCACTCCCCTCCCAGAGGCGAGAGGGAACCCAGGCTGCCAACCTCCTGCTCGAACTCCCCAGACCAGGGGTGGGCAATTATTAGGGCCCATGGGCCACAGAGTTTTGGTGAATGGTTGCAGGCCAGGTCAGGTCAGGTCCCCCCTGACCCCACAGCTCACCAAAACTACGGGAGTGGCTGGTTGGATGGGATGGGGCTGCAGGCTTGTGGGCAGGGAGCCATGTCTGGGAGCCAGGGCAAGCAGAGCTGCAATCTGCTGCCCACATGCCCCTACAACAGGCGCCAGTTGTGCAGGCAGAGACATACAGGGAGTGGATCACAGCTCTGCCGCTGTCACTGTCCTGTGATCCCAGGGGCTCCATAGAGACCAGCCAGAAACTTGTAGTGCAGGGGGAGGGGGGCAAGCAGAGTCCCGCACCCAGATGCCACTCCCCACCCATCCGCAGCCCCATCCTGCCCAGGCCAGTCCCAGCAGGTCTCCCTGAAGATCCCACCCACCCACTTTGTGTGGTGCCCCAGGGGTGGGGTGGACAGGCTTGGGTGCCTTGGCAGCAGGGCCAGGGCTGGCAGTGATAACTGGCAATGGCAGCTGGAAGGAGCCACTGGGAGCTGCTGGGAAGCAAGTCTGACTACTGCACTGCCCCAACCACACTGCACAGCTGGGGGAACCACTGGACCAGCTACATGTGCCACAACCTGGGCTGCCTCCACCACACTTGGGCTGGGCAGGGCCAAGGGACCCACTGCAGACCAGAGAGAATCCTTTGGCAGGCTAGATTCGACCCAGGGCCATATCCACCCCTGCCTGAGACCCCACCCCCTCCTTAGGCCAGCTGGTGCTGAGCACCCAAGCACTAGCCCAGGCCCAGGCCTGTCACTCCCACTGCTGCATTCCTGGGGCTCTACTGCCCCCTGGTGGCAGGAACTGGCATTGCCAAGACACCCTGTCTACAACTGAAGGGGGTGTGAGGTGGGGGTTGGATGGTCATGGGGAGGGGCCACTAGGAAGGGAGCCACATCTCAGCTGTGGTGCAAAAGGAGCCCCTGGAGCACCTAGGCCTAGGGTCTCTGTCTGGCCCTTGGCACCATGTCCTGGGCGGGGGTCCTACTCACAGCCCATCTGAACCTGGGGGGCCCTTCAATATGTCCCGCCCTAGAGATGGCTGCATCTTGGCACCAGGCAAAGCGCCCGTGTATAGCCAACCCCTGCTGTGCCCGTCTGCAGAGGTAGATGCATCTGTGTACCCAGGTGAACTGTCCCAGACAGATCCCTTTTCATACACAACCCCCACCAGCAGGGAGCAGCACTGCTCACACATGCGCGCACAGTGTTGCTGGGGACATTTATTCCTGCTCCATGTATGGTGACAGCACTGATACAGCAAGCCCTGCTCAAAGGCCCTGCCAGGGAGGGCAGAAACAAGCCAGTCCCAGGGGCCCTTGTGCCTATGCTGTGCTTGCCCTGGGGAGGGCCTGCCAGGGGCCACACCAAGGATAGGAACTAGCTTTGATCCATGATTAACTGGGGGCTTGAATTAGAGACAAGATTGTCAGAGAAGGGGGATCCCAGAGGCCAGGGCCCCCCAGATGCCCAGGTCCTTGTTGGCGGGCCAGGGAATCGGCCACTCCTGCAGGAACAGGGTGGGTAGGTAGGCGTGTGGAGCTATAGGCAGAAATGGGGGCTACCCCCTGCACCTGCAAGTCCAGGATACAGGCAGGCCAGGCCCCAGGTAGTGTCGGAGGGGAGGGTCCAGCCCTGGGGGAGAGAAGTGGAACCAGAGATGGGGGGCCCCTGGCGTTGGGATGGAAGAGCTGTCCCCACGTCAATCTGCCCAGCACACTGGCTGTTCCATACCCGGAGCCCGAGACCTCAGCCCTCAGGTCAAGCCTTCATGGGGTGCAGTGCACACCCCTCAGCCTGCTCTGGGTCCAGGCTCCTCTTGGAGGGAAGTGTCTCCTCCCGGCTCAGCACCTGGTGTGGGAAGACACATGGGACAGCATGTTACTGGATAGAACCCTGGAGTCCCGGCTCCCTGCCCCACTTACTCTAAACCCCAGATCCCACTCCTGTTCTAGAGATGGGACAGACCCCAGGTTTCCAGCCCCAGCCCCGACTCACCTCCTGGAGGATGCGCTCCCTCAGCTCACTGTGGGTGAGGGGTCTCTCCTCTTCCTCGCTCCCATCTGTCAGGGCCTCCTCAGTGTCATGGTCTTCCCTTCACAGAAACAGGAGAGGAGGCAAGTGAGGGGGTGAAGGGTGGGCACGTGCCCCATCACCTCCCTAATGACAGAACCCCAGTTTCTGAGGGACCAACCCACCCCTTTCTAATTTGTCACATTCCCCTTCCCACAACCAGGAAAGAACCCAGGAGTCTGACCTACCCGCACTCCACATCACCTCTCCTGACTAAGGTCCTGCAGGCAGGGGTGGCTGTCTGGGCTAGCAAACTCAGTGCCCCGCTCTGTTGCTGTGGGGCTGCAGGAACAGGGGGCCTTACCTGGCAGTGGGAGGTCGTGGGGGGCAGGGCAGGGTAGGGACACCCTCCGTCTGCCCCAGCAGCAGCCGTGCTGTCTCCGAGGGGTTGTAAGAGTCATCAAAGTTCTGTGCAGAAAAACAAAGGGAGAGCAAGGAAGGTTACAGGGGACCTACCCTGTGACACCAAGTCCCCTGTGCCCAGAGTCCACTCTACCTCCATCTGACACAGACCCATCCCCAATAACCCCCAACCCTCCTGCGTGGCACAAAGACACTTGCATGCCCCCTGCCTGGCACTGACTCAACCCAGATTCTCATCCCACATGTCACAGAGCCGCCACCACCCTACAGAGACTCTCATCTGGCACAGAGACCACCTGGCACACACCAGGCTCTGAGCCCCCACCTGGCACAGGCCTGCACTCACCTTGGAGGCCAGGTAGGAGCGCATGGCCAGCAGCTCAGTGGCTCGTTGCTCAATCCGCCCCAGGAAGAGCAGCAAGGTGGAGTCACGCACCACGGTCCCACCCCCCAGCACCTCGTCCAACCCTGTCCGATCACAGCCCAGCTCCTCAAACAGCTCCCTAATGCCTGCAGATAAACAAGCCCAGTTATCTCCCCGCCTCAACACACACAAACAGAATGGGATTTGACAGGACAGATCAGGGGAGCTGGGAGCCAGGACACCTGGGTTTTCTCCCCGCTCTGGGAGGGCAGTGGGGAAGGAGGATTAAGGAAACTGGAATCCAGGATGCCTGGGTTCTCTCCGGGCTCAGGGAAGGGACTGCGTTCACTTGGGGAACTCTGAGAGCCAGGATTCCGATCCTCCATGTGGGAGAGCCCGGGGGCCCTTACCAGTGGGAGCACACCCCAGCCCTTCCCCTGCTCCGTACCTGCCTTAACATGCTCCAGGGTCTTGATGATCTCCTTCTCCTTGGCAAGCAGGTGCTCGGCCTCTTGCACAGCTGCCTCTTGCTTGGTCTCTACAGCCCGGAGCTCTGCCCGGTGCTCCCGCTCTGCCCACTCCTCCTGTGCCTGGGCTGCCACAATCTCCTGCTGCAGCTGCAGGGGCAGAGCAAGTGAGGGGCAGAGCCCACACAGCAGGGGTAAGGGGTTGACTAGGGCCCTGGGGTGCAGGGGAACAGAGCACAGGTCCCCACCTGAGTGATGTGCTCCCCCAGCCACTCCAGCTCACTGTTCTGCTCATTGATGTAGTTGAATTCAGCGAAGTTTTGATCTTCCTCTGTGGGGAAACAGCGTCAGAGACCACCTGACTTGGGGAGACACCGCCCCCGCTCCCCCTCCAGCTAGGGTCAGATCCAAGGTGTGGTATAGTCACATCCCCCGTTGACTCCTGCTCCACCCAAACTTTAAAACCAACTCCCTGAAGGAACAGCAGCATTTCTATTCTATTCAGACAGCCCTGAGGGACTCAACTGACATCATGGCTCATTATCATCTCCCTGATTCCTGCTAATCTTTCTCCACTCCACAGATGTTAACAACCTGATGTTCCATTAATCAGCCTATGCTTTCTTCTGCAATTTTGCTGTCTGTTTGCTATCCCTAGTAATATCTCCCTTCTGTTTCAAAGTTCTGCAGATGTTTTTAGCTCTAGCTAAACCTTCTAATTAATACAGCGGAACATTAACTCAAGTGTGGTCGTATTAATTCAAGGAAACATTAACCAGGTGTGAAAATGACTGACAGTGAAGTATTGGATGCACTGTCAAGATGCTTGGGAAGACTGCATTTTGATTTACAAATCTGAATGAGATATGAGATTTAATTATAATAACTACAGGCCTAATAAAATAAAGTATTTTGACTGTTTTGCCTGGTTTGTGTTTTTTAACCTTTATATATAAAGTCTGGCAAATCAGTGCATATTCTTACGAAGTTATATTTGCATTTGCTTTGATCTTAAACTGAATAATATATAGTGCTAGCTCCCTCCCACATAAGGAGAAACTAGAAGATTTACTAAAGTAGAGGAAAATGTGTGTTTTGTTATAGGTGATGGTGCACCACTAGCTGCCCCCCACTTTTCAAAATTCTAGATCTGCCCATGCCCCCAGCCCCTCCATTGACACCTCACCCAGCACCAACATAATGAGACCCCTCAAAAGACTCTGCTCAGCACAGAAACCCCCTCAACTGGCTGCTCAGCCCAACATGGCCAAGGCCCCTGTCGTGGGGCAGGTCCCCCCTACAAAGGACAGGCCCCACCCCATGCTCAGTTCCGGAGCCAGCTGGTGGCCTGTCCTGGGGTTGCCTGAAAGCCCTTTTCCCTGCTGCCCTGTCACCTTCTAGGAACTTTTCCACCAGCAGGTCCAGGTCATCCTGCCCCTTCAGTTCCCGCAGCTGCCTGAAAGCATCTTCATAGGATTCCAATAGCTCTTCCTCAGGGTCACGGCGCTTCCCCTCAGCCAACTCCTGGGCTGGGAGCGCACAGCAGACACTCAGACCTCACAATATGTGCAAAATAGAACCCAGATGTTCTGGCTCCTAGCCCCTCTCCCCACTCTAACCCACCAGACCCCACTCCCTTCCCAGAGCTGGAACAGAACCCAGAAGTCCTGGTTCTGAGCGCCCCCCTGCAAACCCACACGACCTCACTGACCTCCCAGAGCTGGGAGAGAACCCAGGTCTCCCACCCTCCCCCAGCACCTCTCCGCTGCCGGGCCTCCAGCGCCTCCTGGGTAAGGCTCCGCTCCTGTGCCTTGATGGCCAGAAATTGGTGGAGACGCCTGTCGTGGTCCAGCACCCGCTGCAGCTCTTTCATTTCAGCCCCATGCTGTGCCACATCCTTCTCCGCCTTTTCCCGCAGCTGCCCCAGCTTGGCCTGTGCCTCATCCCTGTGGGGCAGCAGTGTCACTGGAGACCCAACACTTCCTGGCTACAGACTGTGCTGGGAGGAGACCCAGACATCCCAGCTCCCAGCCCCCTGCTCCAACCCATCCCAGACCATTTCCTCCCTGGGGCAGCATAGAACCAGGGGTCCTGACTCACAGCCCCTGCTCTAACCCCCAGGGGGCACCCAGTGTCTGCACAATCAGTGATCCACAATCAGTGATCCACTGCACAATCAGTGATTCCCAGTGCCTGGGAGGTCAGTAGGGCGTGCTGGGGTCAGAGCAAGGCCAGGCCCTACCTGGCATCATAAGCCATGGAGGATGTGTCGATCACAGCTCCAATCTCCTTTCGCTTCTCATGCGCCTCCTGGGAAACACAGAAGGGGGTGTCAGCCAATAACATCCTTGCATCTTGTCCTGGGGCTACAGTGGGATCCTCCCAGCCAACCACACCCTTACATCCTGCCCTGGGGGCACAGTGAAGACATCCCCAACCAATCACACCCGTCTCCTGCCCCACAGTGGCACAAATGGATCTTCATTGACCACCCACATCCTGCCATATCACATATATCACACCTACTCCAGAATCGGTGTTGTAGCAGCCAGTCAGATTTCTCTCTTCCATCATAAGATGTCCTGACCAATCTGCCCTCAACACCACACCAAGCCCCACCTCAGCCTATCAGAACTCTTCATTTTTCTCTCCTCCCCCTTGTGCTTCTCTCCCAGCCCCAATCAGTGCCTCAGTTTCCCACAATAAGCTTGGCAGTGCTTGCCTGGATCCATACCACTAAACCAGAGAGGAAGAAGGAACCTAACTGCCACCACCCCTGCCTTAACCACCAAACCCCACACCCTTCCCAGAGCTGGGGGAACCTGGCCTAAGCCCCTTCTGCCCTCCTCTTCTTCCCCCTGGGCACGCTCTCACCCTCTCCAGCCGTCGGCAGAGCTGCTGAAAGCGGCTGTGCTCAATGCGCATGGTTTCCAGCTCCTCACGCAGGTGGGCGTTCAGCACCAGCTGGGAGTTGAACTTGGCCAAGGTCTGCAAGGAGGGGGATGAGAGGGGCACAGTGTATGGGGAATCCCAGCATTAGAGAATGCGCCCCACTTTGCTCACCCCAGTATTCACTCCTCTGCCAAAACTACAGCCCCCGCTCCCATGCCAGAGCCAGCGACAGAACCTAGGAGACTGTGTCCCAGCTCCCTGCTCTAACTCACCCAGTCCTGCAGCTGCTGGGCCCCTGCTCTCTGCCAGCTGAAGATCCTGCAGCAGCTGTTCCTCCTCCTTCCTAACCCTGCTCCTCTGCCAAACCTGGGAGAGAACCCAGGAGTCCTGGCTCCAGACCCCCCCCCTGCTCTAACCATCGTACCAAACACCACCTCCCAGAGCTGAAATAGAACCCAAGTATCCTGACTCCCAGCCCCACCTCCCCCACCTCTTGAACCAATCAGTCCCCACTTCCCTCCCAGAACTACAATAGAACCCAGGAGTCCTGGCTCGCAGCCCCCTCCCCACAACATGAACCCACAAGGCACTTCTGCCCAGCTGCTGTGTCCCTCTTGTCCCCTTACCCTGTTCAGCTGGTTCTCCAGGGTCTGCACCTTCTTCTGTATCTGGGCTTTGTCCCGCTCAGTGATGCCGGCACTGCCCGCATGCCTCTGCAGCTCCGCCAGCCGCTTTTCCCAGCTCTGGATCTGCCAGGAAGAAAGGCGGGCACCAGGGTCCGTAAGATTCACATACTTCAGCCAGGTGTGCCCCCTGAATGCAGCAGTGGCTGCTGGGTAATCATCTGTAGTGCACTGTGGGATGGTCCCACTGCTCACAACCACTTGCCCATTCACTGGGGAGAGACCAGGTATTGCTGTCCAAAGCACTCAGGGATGCCCCAGAGCATCATGCAGGGGACTGTTGGTAACTGCCTGAGAGCTAGTGATGTCTTCTATCCCATCACCAAGGGAATGAAAGATAATAGAAGCCCAGGAAGAGCCAGTCTGGTCAGCGCAGCACATTCCCCCACTATGCTTTCATCCACTAGACCCCAACTCCCATCCGGAGCTGGGATAGAACCCAGGTGTCCTGGCTCCCAGCCCCACTCCTATAACCCACCACACCTCATGCCCCTTTCCCCACCCTTCCCCGTAACCAGGGTAGAACCCAGGCATTCTGGCTCCCTCTCCCAGCCCAGCTGGTACCTCCAGATCCAGACATGCCAGTGTCCTCCTCTCCTGGGCCACCTGCTCCTGAGTCTGGTCCTTGTGCTGCAGCATGGTGCGCAAGCTGCCTGCCTGTGCCCGCTCCCGCAGCTGGTTGGCCCTGCTCTCTGCCAGCTGCAGCTCCTTCAGCAGCCCTTCCTGCTCCTTCTCCAGCCTGTGGATTTCAGCCCTGACCAAAACAAAGGACTGGCCAGCTGCAATGGGTGGCAGGCAGGGGTAGTGGGGCATATGGTGCCCCACTACCCCTGGTGATATGAGGGGGTGCCACCCATCACCCCCTGGTGATATGAGGGGGTGCCAGATTGTGCCACTGGTGGATGATGAGGTCAAAAGGAGAGGGCCAGGCACGAGAGAGAAAGAGAAGAGGAAGGGGGACCCAGGGCTAAGACAAGGAGAGGGCACAGTAATGATGCTAGGTGTGTGGCAGCAGTGAACTGGTGGATTGTGCTGAGATCTAGGATGTCGTGACTACCAGGTGCCCAGCAGGGCAAGGAAGTCTCAGTGCACGGTTGTGAGCATGGAGTCCCCATGTGGGCACAGAATGCCATGTGTCAGATACCTGAGTTGACCATCCATGTGGGTGAATGTGAGCTTATTCACAAGGGTGAGATTTGGTGGGCTTTGGATCGAGTCCAAGTGATCTCATGCACATGTGATCTTATGACTGTGATCTCATGTGTTCAGTCTTGTATACAAGTGTGACTTGTGCATCAGAGATCCCACATCAAGCAAGTGTGTGGGTGATCTTGTGCAAGTGTGCCTGTGTGTGCGCTTCTGTGTGTATGCAGTCTTACATGAGATTGCAAGTTGTTGTGCATCTATGGTCTTGCGGCTGAGTGGGTGTGGGGAGCCTTGTGCATATACAATCCTGCGTGTGAGTACAAGATCTCAGATGTGATCTTGTGCACAAGTGTGGGATCTTGTGTGTCACAGGCCTGTCACTGAGTGTTCGCAAGATTTTGTGCGTGTGACCTCATGCATGAATCTGAGCATGCAGTCTTGTGAGTGCAAGTGCATGGGAGGTCATGTGCACCTGATGTCCCTATAGTCTTGTGTGTGAAAGATCCTGGTCATGAGCCTGCAGGTAAGCGTGCAGACTGATGCATGAGACCTGGTGAGGGTATGTGAGCAGTAGATCTTATGTGAAAGATCTCACGTGAGTTTGTGTGACCTTCTGGGTGTGTAAGTGTGATGGTGTGTGTGCGTGTGTGTAAGTGCCTATGTGCAGTGCAGTGCAGTGACCCAGCCTGGTGTGGAGGGCTGGTTCCAGGTGAGTTGGTAGGGGAATGTGTGTGATGTCAGTGATACAACAGCATTCTAGGGGGGAGTGTATCTGTGCTGCCCAGCATATGGGAGGCACAGTGTGTGTGTGCATGCATGTGTCATGTGCACCTGATCCTGCAGGTATGGTACTGGGCCCCTCCCACCCAGGGGTACATACAGCTGCCTGCGGATGGTCTCCTGCGACTCCTGGGCATAGGCACGGCGGTCACCCTCTAGCAGGCGGAACTGGCGTTGTATCTTGGCCAGCTCGCTCTCAGCTGAAGGGCCAGGAAGAGCCACAGGGAGAGGGGCATCAGAGAAGGGCTCTAGCCACGGTCCTGCCTGCCATGGCCCAGCCCCTCCCACACATCCAAAATGTGGCCCAACTCCCTTGCAGCCCAGCCATATGATGTCATGTCAAAACCCCATGATATCACACCAAGGCCCTGACCTATCATGGCCCAAATCCTCATACACAAGACCCATGATATGCCAAGGCCCACTGTGGCCACATGACATCACACCAAGGCCATGCCTTCCACATGCTAACCTTCTCACAGGCAACCCACATGATGGCACATTAAAATCCCATGACATTATACAAGGCCCTGTCTGCCACTGCATAACTTCCTCATGCCAAGGCTCCAGGATGTCATGCCAAGATCCCATGAGATCACAACATGGGCCCATGACATCACAAGATGATACCTGCCATGACGCAAACACCTTATGCCCAGACCCCAAGATATTCTATCAAGGCGCTGCCCCCACAACATTCCCTGACTCCTCCCACCAGATATTCTTCCCCCCCTGAAGCTGTTCCCACCAGGCTCTGGAAGCCCTTCTCCCACTCTGACCACCCCGGGGACCTGGCAAGGGACACAATACCCACCTAAGGGTGCTAAGGAACTGCCCCTGACCCAGGTGATTGCCACAGACCTAGGGGGAGTAGGTGTGGATCCAAGACATAATGCAGGGCAGTCTGTCCTGCTGGGGGTATGGATATGGGGTGCCTTGGTGTGGTGAGGTTATGTACGGGTACCCCATGGCCTATGAGGCAAGGGCTGGCTGCCAAATTAAAATCTTGGGGTTGTCTGGGGCCAGCTGGGAGGAGCATGGAAAGGGGTAGTGCTGTGCAGAGGCCCTCAGGGGCTGAGAATTAAGAGATGGGGCACCATGTCCCTAGGACCAGGATGTGACAGGACAGGGCCCAATAGAGGTCCTGGGGCAAAGCCATTACCAATGCCTTCCAGGTCCAAGTCACTGCTGTCAGAGCGGTTGCTCAAGGCAGAGCGGTGCAGCGGCATCTTCTCCTCCTTGCTGATGTTGGGGCACAAAAAAGGAAGACAGAGATTAACTGGGCACTGTGGAGTTATTCCCAGGCTGCTGGTCTCATTAAGGGCGGCTTAACGGGGGTTTATATCAGGGTGCTCCATGCAGCACAGGGCATCACATGTGGGGCAGACAAGCAGAGGCGTCTGGTTTGACACTGGAGCTCTCTACACTGCCTCAGAGGGTGGCTGCTTCTGGGACACAGCACAGTAGGTAAAAACAACCCCTCTCACAAGCCCTGTGCTCCCAGGGAGCTGTGCCCTTGAACTTAATACAGAAGCTAAAGGAGCTGGGCCGGGCTGAGGGAAGGGGAAGCATTGGGGGTGAAACTGGGGCAAAATAGCAGCTGGTTCACACGGTGCTTGCAGGTCAGGGTGGTAGGAAAGCTGGGGGCCTGTTTTGGGGAGAGGGTGATTTCTGGAAAGGGCTGGGGATTTGGTGCGAGTCAAAGGGGCTAGTTTAGGGAGGTGTCAGCTCAGGGTGGGTATGGGGCAATCCTGTTCTCAGCCCTTCCTAACCCTGCCCTCCCAGGAACCTGGAGCAGGGGATACCTGGGTCTCCTATGGATGGTCCTTGAAGGCCGCAAGCAGGCACAGGCAGAGGGAGGGGGAGGTCACAGCCTTCAAAGGGTGCAGGGGACTCTGGCACTTGCTCCCTGTCTCTGCATCACTCACTCCTCCAACCCGCCTCCAACTCAGTTGTTAGTTACAGTCTCCAGGAAGTTAAAGTACCTCAGCCTATGGAGGAGCTCGATGGAACCTGGGGGCAGAGCCAGGCAGGGGAGAATGCATGTAGGCTGAACACCCCTCCCACTACCCCCTCCCTTCCCCCCATAACTCCCCTCCCTTCCCCCCCCCACAACCCTCCAATGCCACTCCCCCCTGGCTGCCCACCCCCACTCCTCTCCCATGCCTCCATAGTTCCCATCACCCCCTTCAGTCCATCCCTAGCCCCCCCCATGACCTCTCTTCTTCCCTTCCCCACTCCAACCTCATCCATCCATATACCTTCCACCCATGTAACCCTCAGCCTCTACCCCTACTCTCAGTCCCAACCAAATTCCTCCCCCCTGAACCTCCTTCAGTCCCACACTCCCATGCCACCCCCTCACTGGACACCCCAGCTCTGGTGCAGATGACGGGGGGTGGGGAGGGGGGACGAGATGGGGACTGCAGTGTGGGGTAAGGGAATGTGCTGCCCAAGCATGCCCATAACCCTACCCTCATCCCAAAGGGCATCGCAGCCAGGTAGGGGCCACTCTGTCCGGACAAGCAGCACCATCACTGCTCAAAGCAGGGAGGAAGGTTCAGTTCAGCTGGCACCACCAGTCATGCCAAGGCCTCATCACAAGTCTGCAGCATTAGACCACGCCAAGGCCCCACCAGATCATGCCAAGGCCCCGTCACATGCCTGCACCATAATGCCAAGGGTAATGACCACGCATCTGCTCATGCCAAGACCCAATAACGTGCAAACCACTTTGTGTGGCTCCAGTCCCATCACATCCCCAGCCACAGTAGCTTGTGCCACAATCATTTCAGACCTCTTCACACCAATAGCCCATTAGGTCAGATCACACCACGACCCCATGGGGCCACATCTAGGCAAGATGCCACAGGAAGATGCCAGGTCACAGGACCCCAGCAAGCTGGGTGACACTGCAGCCCCCCTGGGTCAGCACATGGCCCAGAGAGTCACAGCCGAGCCCAGCACAAGTCCCCTGGGCCACAGAGTGGCAGTGTCCAGCCCAGGACACAGCATGGCCACAGCACAGCAGGTCATGCCAAGGCTATGGCAGGTCACATCAAGACTACAGCAGGTCTTGCCCAGCCCCATGCGGGGGGGGAGAGGAAGTAAATCTCACCAGCTCAGGCCCGATGAGACCAACTGTGATCTCCTGTTGGGGAGGGGGAAACTCCACCCCTCCTAAGCATGCGCCAGGCCAACAGCTCCTTCCCCTCCCTTCGCCAAAGCCCCGCCCCCGCGCAGGCCCCGCCCCTTGCTTCTCCCGCCATTTGCTTCCACTTCCTCCCCTTAGGAGCGCGAATTACGCATGCGCATCACCCTGCCTGACTGTGCTGGGCAGGAGGGGCAGGAAGCTGCTCAGGGATTCCCGGGCGCGGGGAGGGGTCGGCTGGGTGCCCGGGGCGGGACCGGGGGCAGCTCATTTGCATGCAGTGCCCCACGAAGCCTTGTGGGCGGGCTGCAGCCACGTGAGTCAGAGGCCGGACTACCCCGGCACGCCACAGCCCGGCCCAGAAAGCTGCCAAACCACAGCCGACCCCCGTCTGTTTGTACCATCACAACAGTTGCCAGGGCACCAGGCATCTGAGTGGGCAGGGGTTTCCGGGGAGCGGAAAGCGATACTTCCTCCCGTCTCCGCCCTGCCCCCCCCCCTCCCCCGGGCCTGAGCTGGGCCTGCACCGCACTTCTCTGCCTGCTGTTGCCAATTGAGAAGCTCCCTTCCATCAGCCTCCTGCTAGGATGCTAAGGGACTGACCCAGGGTGATAGAACCCGGGCATCCTGGCTCCCCATCTCCCTTGATCTAACAACCCACCAGACCCCACTCCCTGCCCAGAGCTGAGGTGGAACTGGGGTGTCCTGGCTCCCAGCCCTCCCTTGCTGCAACCTCTACCCAGCCACAAGGAGGAACTTCCTTCTCTTGTGTTTCTGCTTCTGGGTGTCTCTAGAGGTGGGAAGTGAGAGCCTCCTCACCCCAGCTGGGTGAGCAGGAGTGGAGATCCCTGTCTGGCTCAAGAGACTCCTGTCCACCCCAGCCCTTCCCATCAGATGCTCCACTAAGGTGTCATGTTGTGAGCTTTGGGGTTTCCATTCAAAATGGGAAGTTTTCTTCCTTTGCCATGGTGTGAAACCTCCAGCCATTGGCTTCATAGCACTGGGTTGGGGTAGTTTTTTTGGGGGGGTTGTTTTGAGGAGCAGCTGAATGAGTGTGGAAGGTGGGAAGGATAGTTTGGTTGGCGAGGCACCTGCTCAGACAGGGCCTGAAGTGTTGGCGGGGGCTCTCGAGTTTGAGAGCTTGGAGAGTCTTTGGGGGTTCAACAGCTAAGACTAATGCTCTCTTTGCATCCTGGAGGGCAACACTAAAGGGGTGCAATTTGAGGTCTGTGGAAGAGGCAGACATTCTGGGGAGCTCCCTGGAACAGCCAGGATTCTGGGGCTACACTTTGAAGTAGCTCCTTGCCACTTTCAGAAGGCAATATTTTACAGTTAGGGTGGCCAAAATCTGGAACCAACTTGCCAGGGAGGTGGTCCTCACCCCTACCTTGGGCATATTCAAGAGGAGGTTGGACGATCACCTGTCTGGGGTCTTTTGAACCCAGCATTCATTCCTACCTGTGGCAGGGGGTCAGGCTAGATGATCTGTTCAGGTCCCTCCTGACCCTAGCTACTATGAAACTATGAAGTTGGGGTGACCCAGTGGGATCTGTCCTAGGGTCCACTCTCCTCTTGCCCCCACATTCCCCAGGGTCTCCCCTAGCAGTTTCCTGTGGCTCCTTTATAAGCTTCTGAACAAAGCATGATGTAGAGAGTAAATGCCACCAGCCCCTTCCTACCCCCAGTGAACTCCACCCCAACTCCCTACCCTGGTGCCCTGAGTTTGCTAGAGGAACTGGGGAGACTGTAGGGTAGGGGCTGTCTTTTTAGACTTGTCAAAAATAGGAGAGGAAGTCAGAGGCCCTGGCGGAAACAACTGCTGAAGAGGGATGAGGTGTATTTCTCTAGGGAGAACCCCATACACATACATATGCCAAGTGGTGGGAGGAAGCTGGTGGCTTTGTAACCTGCAAAGGGCAGGGAGGAGCCCCAGATGGGAGTGCAGCTCTCCCTCCCAGCCATCACCGGGAGGTTCCTGCTGGTGCTGGGGAACATAAAGCCATGGCTTGAAGACCACATGTCCTATTTTAAGACCAAGGGAACAACCAACTTGGCCTCCCTGTCAACCAGTCTCAGGTTGAGCTACATCCCCCTAGATAATGATTTTCAAAGTTCCAAACTTGTCAGCAAATTAAATGCTAAATTACCGGCCCCATTCAAGGTTCCAAAGCATTCAGCCAATCAGGGACTGTGTTCTGCCTCCTGTGTTCTGTGTTCCAAGCCTCATTCTGCCAATCAGGGAGGAGGTGCACCCCTCCCCCACAACCTCAACCAACATATATACAATTTCAGTCTATAGTGTTATACCAAAAGGATGCAAAATTATTTGAAGGATTTATAATGTCCAGATTCTCTTTTCATAGATTCATAGATCGTTAGGGGCTGGAAGGGACCTCACAGATCATCGGGTTCAGCACCCCGCTCTAGGCAGGAAGACACCTGAATATTCCCCACTTTTCCAAAGCTCTTCCCCAATCAGTGACAAGTATTCTCAGTCTTGGGGGGTCCTAAACTACCAGCACCCAGTTGTCTTCTGAGTAGGTGGCCAATTACTGTCCCTTCCCAGAACTGAGAGAGATCCCAGGAGTCCTAGCAGTATGGTAATCCACAAGACTACAACCAGCTGCCCCTCAAATTGCGACAGAACCCAGGAGTCCTGGCCCCAGGCCTCTCTGCTCCAGCACACCAGACATTCACTCCCTTTCCCAGAACTGAGATAGAACCCAGGAATCTTAGCTCCCTGCCCCCTCTACCAGACCCCACTCCTCCCCCAGAGCTGGGACAAAACCCAGGTGCCCCCACTCCAGCACACCAGACCCTCATTCCCTTCCCACAGCTGGGATGGACCTCAGGCTCTCCCCCCGGCTTGTTATCACCAGGCACCTCTGTCCTTCTAGAGCTGGGATAGGACCTAGGAGTTCTGGCTGTCAGCCTTCCTGCTATGACCCACCAGACTTCATTCCTCTCCCAAAATTGGGAAAGGAACCAAGGTCCCAGTCTGGGCCAATCTGTGGGGAAGCCTGCAATGCCAGGGAATCCCGGGCTGGCAGTGCCTGCAATGCAATGGTCTGAGAGGGACAGAGGGTGGAGGGCTAATGGGGAGACACACAACAAGGGCAGGGACTCAGTGCCCTCCATGTGGTGCCAGCTGGGGAGGGTGTTCTCTCGGGGTGGGGGCCCCATGTTCCAGCCCCCCAGCCAGCAGACACAGGACATCCTCATCTGGCCCCTCCCTCCTGGGGCTGCTGCCAGGGGTGTGGGGGGAGTTACTATTTATTCAGGCACAGACGCAGAGACAGGGGAAGGGAGAAGAAGAGAGGGAGCGACACAGCCTGCATCTCAGAGGAGTGCCCAGACCTGCCCAGGTACCCTGCTCCCTGCTGCTGCCCCTTGCAGTCCCCAAGGGGGGGTGCCTGTCTTTTAGTCTGGGTGGGTGTGGGGATATCTGTCTGTCTGTCAGGGAGGGAGGAATGTGCTTTTGCAAAGTCTCAAAGTTTGGCTCTACTTGCACAGGGGGAGGTGCTAAGGGGGATCGTAGGGTGCTGGGTGCTTCCCTCTCCTGCTGCTTTTGGGAAAGAGGAGAGAAAAATCTGCTCCTCCCCCACACACACCCTAAACCACTGCTAGGTGGCTGCTGTCCCCCCCTCACCGTCTGGGAGGCATCTGTACCTCCATAAAGCCACAGCTGGTGCCAGCACAAAGAGAGCACCCCCACCTCTCAGTGCAGAGACCCAAACCCACAGCACAGAGCATAGCACACCCCCCCAGCAGAGACACTGCTCCCACCCCAGCTCAGAGAGCCAGCCCCAGCTTATCCCTGCCCTGTCCAAACCCTGCCCTCCCTTCCACAATTACAGCCCTTGGGCAGCACAACTGGAAATGTGGACACCATACACATGGCCAGAGACGGGCACCCCCTAGAAGGGACAGGTCCCTGTCCCATCCCCACCCCCTCAGCCAGCCCCAAGTAGATGGGGCTGGAGCCCCCCTGGAGGGAGTCAGTTTTTGCCCCATCCTGAAGCCCACCCGCCCAGCTCTGTGGAATCAATGGCTGGTTGTTTTCCCTTTCAAAGAAGCCTTGGTTTGCAGCAGGAAAAGTCTTGTGGCCAAACTGCTGAGGGCCAGGCGCCAGGCAGCTTCCTCATGGTACAGGGCTGGGTGGGGACCTGGGCTCAGGCCTGGTGCCTGGGAGGGCTCAGGCTGCTGTGCTGGGGGAGCTGGGAGGAGGCACTGTGGGGTAGGGAAAAGGGCAGGGGATGCTTGGAGGTGCCAAGCTGTTGAGAAGGGGGGCACTGTGCTTTGGGGAGTGGGTAGAGGATGCTAGGGATGCCAGGTTGCAGGCAGCATAGTAGGGGCATTGTGGGGGCATCCTGCTGAGGGGAGAAATCCAACAGGGGGTACCTCCCATCTCAAGTACTGGTCCCTGAGCAATGGTAGGGAATCACCGTGTCCTGGATCCCTTATCCTATTGGACAATATCCCACCTCTCTGATCTCCAAAGATCCCTTGTTCTTTCAGCAGA